TGTTTTCAATACCCTTCCTAATAATCCCCAGCATAGCATTGGCCTTCTTTATTGCAGTCACACACTGTCTCGACATTTTCAGTGAGTTATCCACTACAACTCCAAGATCTCTCTCTTGCTCAGTCTCTGCCAGTTCAGACCCCATCAATGTGTATTTATATTTAGGATTTTTGGCTCCAATGTGCATCACCTTGCACTTGGCCACATTGAACCCCATTTGCCATGTTGACGCCCACTCGCCCATCCTTGACAGATCCCCTTGGAGTGCCTCACAATCCTCACTGGTTTTCACCACCCTGAACAACTTTGTATCATCCGCAAATTTAGCCACTTCACTGCTTACTCCCATCTCCAAATCATTAATGAACAAGTTAAAAAGCAGTGGACCAAGTACTGATCCCTGCGGTACCCCACTGCTTACCACCCTCCACTGAGAAAATTGCCCACCTACACTCACTCTCTGTTTTCTATGAACTAGCCAGTTTTTGATCCATAAAAGGACTTGTCCTTCTATCCCATGATTTTTGAGCTTACTTAGGAGCCTTTGATGAGGAACTTTATCAAAAGCTTTCTGGAAGTCAAGGTAAATAATATCTATTGGATCCCCCTTGTCCACATGTTTGTTCACCCCCTCAAAGAACACTAACAGGTTAGTGAGACAAGATCTTCCCTTACAGAAACCGTGCTGAGTCTGCCTCAATAGGTTTTGTTCATCTATGTGCCTACTAATTCTTTCCTTAATAATGGTTTCCACCAATTTACCCGGTATCGACGTCAGACTGACTGGCCTGTAATTTCCCGGATCTCCTCTGGAACCCTTTTTAAAGATGGGAGTGACATTAGCTACCTTCCAATCCTCAGGAATGGAGGCAGATTTTAAGGAAAGATTACATATCTTTGTCAGGAGATCTACAAGTTCACATTTGAGTTCTTTCAGAACTCTCGGATGTATGCCATCTGGGCCTGGTGATTTTTCAGTTTTTAAGTTGTCTATCAGTTTTAGGACCTCCTCTCTCATCACCTCAATCTGACTCAGGTCTTCCAACACCCCTCCTGAAATCAGTGGTTCTGGAGTGGGCAAGCACTTCTCATCTTCCACAGTGAAGACGGAGGCAAAAAATGCATTTAGCTTCTCAGCCATTTCCCTATCATCCTTCAATACTCCTTTTACCCCTTGGTCGTCCAAGGGCCCCACTGCCTCCCTGGCTGGTTTCCTGTTTCTAATGTATTTGAAGAAAGTTTTATTGTTGGTTTTTACGTTTTTTGCTATATGCTCCTCATATTCCCTTTTTGCCTGCCTGACCTCAGACTTGCATTTTATTTGCCATAGCCTGTGTTCCGTTTTATCAGCCTCACTGTGACTAGCTTTCCACTGCTTAAAGGAATTCTTTTTACTTTTTACAGCCTCCATTACTCTGTTTGTTAACCATGCAGGCTTTTTCCTATACCTGTTTGTGCCTTTCCTAACCTGCGGAATATATATTTTTTGAGCTTCTAGGATCGTAGTTTTAAATAGATCCCAAGCTTCCCCAATTGTTTTGACCCTTTCTACTTTTCCTTTCAGTTTCCTCCCCACGTGTCCCCTCATATCAGAGAAATTACCCCTTTTAAAGTTAAAAATGGTTGTGTGAGTCTTTTTGGCCAATTCTCTATTTGTACAAATGATGAACTCAACAACATTATGATCACTGTTTCCAAGCGGTGCAATCACTTTTACATCTCTCACCAGGTCTTGAGTGTTACTTAGGACCAAATCAAGGATCGCCTCTCCCCTGGTAGGTTCCGTGACCATCTGCTCCATAGCACAGTCATTTAGAGTGTCTAGAAACTCAATCTCTTTTTCCCGACTAGAACACATATTGACCCAATCAATGTGTGGGTAGTTAAAATCACCTATTATTACACAGTGTTTTTGTCTAGTTGCTATCTTTAAGGCATTCATCATTTTATAATCCTCCTCTATCTTTTGATCTGGTGGGCGATAACAAACTCCCAGTGTTAAGTTTCCTTTTGGCCCCCCTATTTCAACCCATAGAACTTCCAGAAGCGAATCCAATTCACTTAGCCTCTCAATCTTTCTAGACTTTATACCCTCTCTGACATACAGAGCTACCCCACCTCCAACCCTTCCCCCCCTATCCTTCCGATATAATATATAACCGGGAATCACTGTGTCCCACTGATTTTCCTCATCCCACCAAGTTTCAGAAATACCCACAATGTCTATTTTTCCCTCCGACACCAAGCACTCCAACTCCCCGATTTTACCTCGGACACTTCTAGCATTTGTATAGAAACAGCTGTAATTTCCCTTACAAGTTAAGCCTGCATCCTTCCTCTTGCTATCTCGAGTCGTTGTCCGGCAGTCCATGTCACCAGCCATGGCCTCTGTGGACAATTTCAATCCACCTCCCTGTAGAAAAGCAACCGGTACCCCCTCACCTCTCTCAGATGAGCCAACCCGAACCAGAGACTTTTCATCTCCTGTCGGCTTTCCCCCAATATTCAGTTTAAAAGCTGCTCTGCCACCTTTTTGATTTTAAGTGCCAGCAGCCTGGTTCCTTCTCGGGACAAGTGGAGACCGTCTCGCCTGTACAGCTCCCTCTTGTTCCAAAAAGTATCCCAGTGCCTAACAAACCTGAACCCTTCCCCCCTACACCATCGTCTCATCCACGCATTGAGACTCCTGATCTCTGCCTGTCTCTCCGGCCCTGCGCGTGGAACAGGTAACACTTCTGAGAAGGCTACCTTGGAGGTCCTGGACCTAAGTTTCCTGCCCAGCAGCCTAAATTTCTCCTCCAGGACCTCACGACTGCATTTCCCCACATCGTTGGTGCCGACATGCACCACGACCACTGGCTCCTCCCCAGCACTATCTACCAGCCTATCTAAAACACGCGTAATGTCCGCTACCTTCGCACCAGGCAGGCAAGTCACCATACGGTCAGTACGCGGGTTCGCCACCCAGCTGTCTACCTGCCTAAGGATCGAATCACCCACTACCAAGAGCCCCCCTCCCACCCTGCTCAGGGATGGTTCCTTGGTGCAAAAGGAGAGCCGCTCACCAGCTGGGGAAGAGGTCCCTTCTGAGGGCACATTCCCCTTATCCTCAGCATGGTGCCCTGTTTCCCCTAGACCCTCATGCTCCCTGACAGCAGCGGGGCTGCCAGATCCAGAGTGGGACGAAGCTAACAAGTCCCCGAGAGTCTTTTCTGTGTGCCTAGCTGACTGTCTCTGCTTCTCCAGGTCAGCCACCTTGGCCTCAAGGGAGCACACACGTTCCCTGAGAACCAGGAGCTCCTTGCACCGAGGACACACCCAAGACTTCTGCCCAGTGGGCAGATAGTCATACATGTGACACTCCGTGCAAAACACTGGATAGCCCCCAACCCCCTGCTGGCATTCTGGCTTCATAATTCTTTTAAAATAAATAAATATAATCCCCCTTTTAAACCCTTGGTATTTATGTGGGTTTTGTTATCAAGTCAAATTATTTTACGGGAAAGACAAAGAGCCTAGGGCCTTGTCTTTCTGGCTCTTTTTGGGCTTCTTACAGCGCCCCTAGTCTAAGAGTCCCTAGGCTAAGAGCCACAGGCAAAGAGCCCTTTAGCTCACCCTTCGGCTCGTGCCAGAGGCTCGTGCCTCTGCCAAGGTGCTTCCTTAAATAGAGGCCTCCCCCAGCAGAGGTCAGGCAGCAGCTATTCAAATTCAAATTCACCCAGGCACTCAATCACAGGCAAAACAATGCCCCTTCCACTTCCTCTCAATTACAGGCAATCCCAGTCAAACAATGCCCGTTCCTCTCCCACACTCAATCAGCCAGGACTCTGCAAGAACTCTAAGTGCTTCCACACACTGCTAAACACAGTTTTCCCACAAAATATCCTTAGCTGAATTCTCTCAGCTGAAAGCAAGTAAAAGAAACCCACTCACCTCTCTCACAGCTCTCTCTCCTGCTCCTGCTCAGAGCTCAGCTGGTCTCCTCTGCCTCTGGCAAGGTGCTTCCTTAAATAGAGGCCTCCCCCAGCAGAGGTCAGGCAGCAGCTATTCAAATTCAAATTCACCCAGGCACTCAATCACAGGCAAAACAATGCCCCTTCCACTTCCTCTCAATTACAGGCAATCCCAGTCAAACAGTGCCCGTTCCTCTCCCACACTCAATCAGCCAGGACTCTGCAAGAACTCTAAGTGCTTCCACACACTGCTAAACACAGTTTTCCCACAAAATATCCTTAGCTGAATTCTCTCAGCTGAAAGCAAGTAAAAGAAACCCACTCACCTCTCTCACAGCTCTCTCTCCTGCTCCTGCTCAGAGCTCAGCTGGTCTCCATTGTATCATTGATACTCCAGTTTAATTTTTTAAAAATCTCTAGGGAGATCTCTATCTATACACTCAATCTTAGTTCAGTTTTTAATGTTTTACTCTATACGACATTACATTTCCTTAAATTTATCTGTCTTTCTTAGCCCTACCCCTTTTTCTTCTTCCCTCATCCCTTTTTTTGTGATGATATGGGTGAGGTCTGCTTAATCCTTTCTTGTCAGTAATCCTCCTTAGTTTGGGCTCCAGAAAATGTTTGCTTGTTAATTGTCCTTTCATATTGTTCCAAAATCCCTTCCTATAGTTGCAAAAGCCATAGATTGACTCATGTTCCAGAAGTTCCTGCTCATGATGATTTCTCAAAAGATGTGTATTTAGGGGTGTTTCTCTTTTACAGCAATGTAGAGCAAAATATAGCTTGTTTCTCCTTTTCAAAGTTAAGCATTTTCACAACATGATTGATTTTCTGTTATGTATAAAATTACCTTTTGTTAGTGCTATCAACTAATCAAATATTTTCTTAGATAACCTGGACTTTAAGGTCATCAACCTTACTGGAATGCTTCCAAGTGACTGCATTTTAGACTGGGTGCCAAGTTTTCTTTTGTCTACCACTCCCTATGGCTTTCCAAACAGGTTTGGTGACTCTCTCTCTCTCTCTTTGACATCATGTTTGCAGATCTTTAATGCGAACACTGCTGAGCTGCTGAGTTACCATCAAGTGGAATTAAAACAGAAGTTCCCTAAGGAAGGGTATGAACTTTCCTGTTGTATTCTTGTATAGTTGTCAGCGTGTGAGTGAAATGGGATGAATCAACAAAAAAGTTAATGGAGGGAATTGATGGAGCAGTTCTTTCTCAACCTTACCCTTCTTTTAGACAACTTTTGCATATCTTAAAAATCCTGCTTCCTCTGCTGCCCATACATGAGCAAACTTTCCACTAGTGGAGGAAGGAGAAGGAGGGAATGGTTTCACCGACTTCTCCTTCCTCATTGCAACAGTAAAGCAGAATGTTTTGTTCATAATACTACCCAGAGCCTCCAAGGAGATCACAGTGCACGTTGGGCAAAGTAGAAGGTGGGGAAAGATCTGCTTTGCTATCTTCTGTAAGCTTTACCTTGGGATCCCACCCTATATGTGATTCCATTGAGATCAGTGGAATAGCTTATAAGAGTATAAGACTGGTTTGGAGACTTGTTCCAATGGGAAAAATGTACAGTAGGAGGAATTCATACAGTCATATTATAGTTTCACATGTCTCCTAAAATAATCAGAGGAAAAGGAAATGACAGCTTTGGGAGGGGGGACTCCATAGCATCATATCCTTGCTGCGCTCTACTTTTCTGTAAATTAGAGTTGCTGTTCATGGAAAATTTATCGTCAGTTTCACAGATAGTATAGCAAGCTTTATGAGCTGTAAAATCTAGCTTTCAAACATCTGTTCTGCGTTTATGCTGATTATTGGTCTCTTTAAGGTGGGTAGAACAAGATGCAAAGGAAATTCTACAATCTGTCTATGATTGTGTGGAAAAAACATGTGAGAAATTGAAGCAGCTGAACATAGACATTGGCAACATAAAAGGTAGTACTATGTTTTCTAAAACATTTCTAGAACTTACTCTAGAGGTCAAGAGGAACAAGGTCTGAACATTAGCAATAAAACTATTGTAGCCACATTTCAAGTGAGAGCCAGTTTGGAATAGTGGTTAAGTGTGCGGACTCTAATCTGGGAGAACCGGGTTTGATTCCCCACTCCTTCACTTGCAGCTGCTGGATGACCTTGGACAAGCCATAGTTCTGTCAGAGCTCTTCTCTCAAGGACCTTTCTGTAAAGAGCTCTTCCAGCCCCACCTACCTCACAGGGTGTCTATTGTGGGGAGGGGAAGGGAAAGGGATTGTAAGCCGCTCTGAGACTCCTTTGGGTAGTGAAGGGTGGGGTATAAATCCAATCTCTTCTTCTTTTCTACTTCATTTGTACCCTGTCTTTTTCCCTACTGGGGACCCAAAGCTGGTATGACAGACCCCTGATGCTTCCCCAATCTCAGGCAGATTTTTCCACCAATTTTTTTTTTTAGTTTCCCTCAGTGACTGAGTCACACTTTAGTAGCATGTATTTCTTCTTTATTTTATAAGCGTTAACTGTCCCACCCTGTCACAGATATTAGTTTAGGCTTATGTCCCAGCACAGGAACTAGAGGCAATACAGGAGCTGTCTTGTTTTAAAATACCCTCATGAAATGGCACGTGAGGCAAAATTAATATTCAAAACAGAATAATCTCTCTCTCTCTCCCTCTCTCTCTCTCTCACACACACACACACTCACAGCCCCACCCACCACCCACCCCAAATTGGAAGAGCTTCTGAATTTGCTGCATTTGGTGAAAGGAGCAGCAACCAAAACAGAAAACTGGTATCCTCTTCTCTCCTCCCTCCCCTGCCAATTCCAATGCATGCATGCAGACATCTTTGGGGCAAGCCAGTGAATTTGAGCTGTAAATAAAGGATATAATAGAAAATGTATAGATTAAAATACAAATAAATAAAGGCCCATTCCAAATATTTCTAAAATATATGTCATTTTAGGAAGTGTTTCTCTTTTGTTTTTAAGCTATTGGCGTTACCAATCAGAGAGAGACAACTGTGATTTGGGACAAGACAACTGGAGAGCCTCTGTATAATGCTATTGGTAAGCAGAATGTTGTCTTCAGAATATGTGCCGATCTATTATTATTCTGTATTCAGTTCAAAATTCAATAAAATAGACATTGATAAATGACAGTGGGTAAATTCCACTGTAAGCAAATGTAAATTCCTTGAAATATTTGGGAGAATAAAATAGATGAAGAGGAGAAAAATTAAGTAAGTTATGTGCAGAATCTTTGCTGTGACAAGGCCTATTTGCAGTAAAAGCTTCATCACAACATCATACTGGAATCAGGAATAGAAGTCTTAAGAAGAGGTCTGTAATGTAGGAAAGACTACTTCCACCACAATCCTAAATTCAGTCTGTCACTCCTCCGACATACAATACAAAGTATGTGCAGAAATCACATTAGCTCAGCAACTGTCCTGCCATATCCTGAGTAAGGATTGGAGAAATGCTGCAGGAAGCCCCTATGTAAAGTCATTGCAAAAATAAAGCACTGCGAAGTCACCAAGGCTTGGGTTGTTTTGCGAGACTCAGGACCAAATCACATTTGATGATGGGAGTTTTGTGAATGGAGTTCCTAGTGTCTTTTTTCTCTTTAAATAGCAGGCACACATGGGCCCAATTTGGATTGGGACTGCAGGGCAAGGAAGTAGGGGTTAAGCCTCCCCCTCCCACCATTTATCCTGAGTAAGGATTGGAGAAATGCTGCAGGAAGCCCCTATGCAAGGGAATTGCAAAAAAAAAGCACTGCGAAGTCACCAGGGCTTGGGTTGCTTTGCAAGACTCAGGACCAAATCACATTTGATGATGGGACTTTTGTGAATGGAGTTCCTAGTGTCTTTTTTCTCTTTAAATAGCAGGCACACATGGGCCCAATTTGGATTGGGACTGCAGGGCAAGGAAGTAGGGGTTAAGCCTCCCCCTCCCACCATTTTCCTAACCTGAAGCAGCCTAGTAGAGCTGCTGTTTGTCCTGTCAGGGAAACATACAGGTACTGATATGGAGTTTATGGAGGTCCCTTTATAGTTCCAGGCCCCTGATCTTGTTTAGTTGGTCGAATAGTCAGCAACACAGTCTTTAACTCTTACAATGTTTGTCTTTGGATTCCTAGTGTGGCTCGATCTTAGGACCCAATCTACAGTTGACAGGCTGCTTAAAAAAATTCCAGGGCAAGATAAATCCTTTTTTAAGGTAAGATTGGTAGGCATGTGCTTTTATCTTATTGGTAGGCATGTGTTAATGTGAGGTATTGAACGAAAGGAATAGAAGCGTGTACTCTTTTTGGCATGAAGTCCTTAATCAGATCAAAGTCATCACAGGCTATGAAGTACCCCTGAAGCCAGAAATACTCTTTCTCAATATCTGGAAGGATCCTCAAATCCCATCAATCAGAAAAGATCTCATATTCAGCCTCATAGTCGCAGCTCGCTCTTGCATAGCTGCCAGATGGAAATCTCATCTACTCCCTACAATTGACCAATGGTACACGAAAGTCTGGGACCTCTATATCCTCGAGAAAATTACAGACTATGTCAATAGCATTGAACAATTTCCTCAAAGAACCTCTTTCTCTTCAAAATGGCTACCCTTCTTCGAGATGATAACAGCACAAGACATCCAGCCACACAAGCAAATATACCTCAAATTACTATACATCTAGACACTATTCCTCAGCCTACCGATTAACAATATCACTGGTTGTTTATCAATATGTTTATCAATATGTTTATAAAACTGACTACCGTTGAAACAAAGACATTTACTAGTTAATACTCCTCAAGCTACTTTCCTATGAGATGATATTAATGACCTAATACTCTGTATTTAAAGTGCTTTAAAAGTTTGGAAGTTAATGTAATTTTGTTGTTGTTACATATTATCAAAAGATTAATAACAAGTTTATGATTAAAAAATAATAAAAAAGGAATAGAAGTGTGTAGCTGTAGTCAAAGGAGTCCCATGATTTTTGTCCCCCAGATACTTATGAAAGTGGTTCTAGTAGTTTAACAGGCATCCTCTGAGCAAAATAAAATTTGAAACTCCCCAAAACCTCTTCAAAATTTTACTTGAAGAGATTACTTTAGGTACCTAAATTTAAATTCATCAGTTTTTAGCTATATAGCAACTGTCCTTGAGTGCTGGTTTCTTTTTTTTAATCCATAGGGAATACACTAGTAAATTGCTGCCCTGAGCCTGCATCAGTGGGGAGGGGAGGGGTATATAAATCCAATAAATAAATAAACCACTATGTGAATCTGCTTGCCTTGAAAGCTATTACTATGCATAACTTAAGAGCTGGTTCTTTCATTGTGCTAATGCTCCCCTTAGTCATTTATAGTTACTAACCAAATACAGGTGCCTGCCTAAAATATGACCTTTGGAAACGTTCTCTGGTTTTTGCTGTGTGGCAGAGCTCCAGACTGTCTTTCTCGACCCCTTTGATCTTTGATCATAAAATGTTAGAGGTGGATATTAGAATGTCTGAGGTCTACAATACTGTTAAAAAGACAGTGAAAATGATTTTTTATAAACGTGTATGAGATAGGAAACTTGTTTAATAACTGTAATGCAAATGTTCATCTCTTCTGACTGGCTTTCAATCTTGCAGAGTAGGACTGGCCTGCCACTTACCACATACTTCAGTGCTGTGAAAGTTCGCTGGCTTATGGACAACGTGGAAGAAGTTGGGCAAGCAGTGCGAGAGGGGAGAGCTATGTTTGGTACTATTGATTCATGGGTGATATGGGTATGTCTCAGTAGGTTATGTTGAAACCAAGTGTGCAAAATTTCCTTTGTTTCAGTCATCTTTGAACTTCAGTCAGGTGTCAGTCCTATATTACCTTCAGCCTCATCCAAATGATTTTTCTTTCCATATCTTTAAGGGTACTTACATATGTGCATAATCTTCCTCTAACATTACTGAATGAGATAAGAAGTTAACATAAATTAGGGTCAAAAAGTTAATTTTTAAACAATTATCAAGTTTCAGCCAATAGTAACGTAGCATTGTGTTCACAAGAGGAGAATCTTAGTACAAGTTGTCATAACAGGTACTTTCAGAAGTATTTTAACTATGAAAGATGTGAATCTGTGTTTTGTACAGTTCTACTATATAACATTTTTGTGTACACATCTTAAATTAAGATCTGCAATACTTGGCTCTGTATTTGTATTGTCAAATAAGGAGCCAAAATTTGCACAAATTTAGATAGTAAGTGAAAAAGATTTTCAACTTTTATTACTTGTGCAGTGATGGATGAGCTTCTAGTTTGACTGATTTATCTTTGATTATATATTCAGAGTCTGACAGGTGGAAAAGATGGAGGTATTCATTGCACTGATGTAACCAATGCCAGTAGGACAATGCTGTTAAATATTCATACGTTAGAATGGGATGCTGAACTCTGCAAGTAAGTAAAAAAAAAGTTGAACCCTGAAAAGGCAGGGTTTGTTGACTGTGTTCCAAAAGCCAAACCAACAGCTTTCTCCTAAGCAGGCTTACTTACAAGTAGTCCTGTTTAGTAGAACTGGATTACTGGCAGGCAAGTATGCACCAGATGGCAGCTTTTTGAATGGCTCACAATCATATGCAGAAGAGACTATCTGGTCTCATTTGTGACACTGAAGAACAAGGTGCTCTTCAGTAGCAAAGTATTTGTTTCTCATGGGTTGAGATGATTTAAATTTCCCAGTATGTGGTGGGTTCATGTGCAGATGTATCTGTCTGAAGGATACATTACACAGTGGATTCTACAGCAACTGTTTGCAACAGCTTCAAATACAGCTGGCCATAAGTGTGGTCACAACCACTGTTCCCTCTAAGCTGAGTTAGTGTGAGCTAGCTCACAGTTTTTTAGCCTCTGGCTCACATATTTTTGTCTTAGCTCAGGAAGAGATGGCTCCAGAGCAAGCTAATCTATGCAGCAGCCAAATCACTCGCTCACAACTTTAATGCCAGTAGCTCACAAAGTAGGATTTTTGCTCACAAGACTCCACAGCTTAGAGGGAACATTGGTGTGGATGTCTGTGTGCAGCGGAGATATAAATTAACTACTTGTTTAACAAGAACCAGGACTCCCCCACGATTTTCCTTCCCTGAAAGCCTCTGTATCCTGTCCTCTTCCTTTTTTCTTTCCCATCCAACAGTGAACCTACCTTTATCTGCCCCCCATCTTCAGTTTTCACTCCTTCCTCCTCCTGGCAACCTATACCTGGGAAAACTATGGTCTTAGTTGGGCAGTGAGGAACCCATGAGGGCTTGCAAGGGGCACTTCATTTGCCTCTTTACTTTCCCCACACTGTTTCTGCCTTCCACCCTCCTAGCAACCCCTGTATCGTTACCTTTTTCTGTTTGCTTCTCTCCTTCTCATTCACCAACCTTTTATCTGCCCTCCTTCTTCTGATATATTATTTATTTACTTAATTTATTTCTTTACAATGGGACTCAAAGCAGCCTATATCTTTATCCTCTCCTCCCCATTATTCTTACAACAGCCCTGTGAAGTAAGTTAGGCTGAGAATGGGTAACTGGCCCAAGGTCAGCCAATGAGTTTACATGGCAGAAAGGGGATTTCAGCCCAAATCTCTCAGATTCTAATCTGAAACTCTAACCACTACACCACACTGGCTTTCATGGGGTAGCTACTGTTGAGTACTAACAAGTAGCCAGCCCTGTGTAAGTCATGCAGGTTGCATGCTGCATGCTATCAAGTTGCCTTGTGGTTGGTGCCAGGCTTGGCCTCTTGAGTCTTCCCTCAAAAGTAAAAACATCCCTGGAAAGGACCCTGTCACCTCCCTCTGCTTTTTACTGGGGGAAAACAAGGCTTGAAATTGGTATTACTACTGTGGTTGCCGAGCAGCCCCCACATCGGTCTCTGCAGAGAGCATTCATTTCAAAAAGATGCAGGTACTGCTGTTATTTTGGAGGGTTAACCTTCCTTCCATGTATTATTTAGATTTCAGATTTTTCTGCAAACCTGGGGCCTTTTTCAGGTTTGTAGAAAGATCTGTCTTATCTGTTCATGGCTTCAGTCTCTGGATTTAAGTGTCTCACAGATTTGAACACATTGAGAATTAGATATATGATGCTGTATTGTCCTACTCTTCTGTCCAATTGTTTGTTACTTCGTTAAATTTTCTTGTGAGTCATGTGGTAGGATAGGAATGTTTACAAATATTAATTATGACTGCTACCAAATTAGAAGCAAAGCCTCTGTTTAAACTCAAATGGGTCTCATTTCAGAGATGCTGTTTCAAAGGTTTCAAATTTGGCTTTCTGGCTCATGCTATTCCTAGGATGCAAGTTGTTGTTGTTGTTGTTGTTGTTGTTGTTTTAAGGGTAGGGAGATATAGACCATTAGATATCTTCCTACATTTTAAAAATAGTTGCTGCATTTTTCTACTGTTCTGAAATGGCAGCACATTACATGAATGAATTAGCATGATTTTATTTATTTAGTGTATTTTTATTCAGCTCTTCTCCCAAGGAGATCGGGCCACACACAGGTCTATATCCCCCCCTCTATCATGGAAGCTCACTGGATTACCTTGGGCCGGTCACTCTCACTCAGCCTAGCCTACCTCACACTGTTGATGATGTGAGGGTAGATTGAGGAAGCGAAGCCACTTTGGATCACCACTGGGAAGAAAAGCTGAGTACAGATATCTGATATAATATGTAAATTGCATCTGGCTGGGTTAGATGGAATTTAAAACTGATACTGATAATTTTTGATGGTTCTACAGAATGTAGTTGATCTTAGGTGTGGATTACATTAAAAAAAACCCTGAGCTAAACACACAGGGGTTCTGTTATACTAACTGGAAGCTTCTTGCCCCAGAACATTTTGGGCTTACCTGAAAAATGCCACTTTATGCATTTCTGAACATTGCCAGCAAACCATCCTGGAAAACTAAAGCCCTGGCTTCATTTTTAAACTACAAATGTCTGTCTCGTAGTGGCTGCCTGTAAACCTGCTCTTGGAGTCATGGAGGAGATTTCTTATTGTAGTCAGATGTTTTCACTTTGCCCTTTTAATCATTTGGAAATATGGGTAGCATGGATGTGGGGACAAAAGTTCCTTGTGCAGCTATCCATGACAGCTATCCATGTGGGTTAGTCTAAACTTAGGATGCCACCACAAGGATAAGTCATTAGTTTCTAGCCATACAGATGTTGCCAAAACTTAACAGTAGCATTAAAAGGTTTCAAAGTCGATTTTCTTTACCAAGAAATAAGATCAAATGTGAGATATGAATCAATGGATAACTCTTTGTTGTTGTCCAGGTTTTTTGATATTCCTATAGATATCCTTCCCAGAGTGCGGAGTTCATCAGAAATTTATGGGCTAATGGTATGTGTTCTTCTTTCTCCCCCCCTCCCCCCGATGAATCTAATTTAGTGTAATTGAATGAATTGGGCCTATTTAGGTGAGAGGGAGCGAAGAAGCAATTTCTACTTTTGAAAATATTTTTACCAGGAAGTGGAAAGATTTTATATTTTCATTGTTGCTACCATGTAGAAAAGACTTTAATGAAGTTATAATTTGCTTGTGTCAGTGATTCTTATGTATATGATTTTTTTGCTGTCAATTGCATATATATTTCAACTAGTGTAGAAATTAATATTAATATGATGGACTAGAGGGGGAGGGAGAATCCTGTTGTCCCTGCTTTGTTTTCTCTTGTGTCCCCCCCCTTCCCTGTGCAAGGGAGCTGATGAAGTCATCCTGCTCTCCCTCTTGAACCAGAGCTAGGAGTGGCCTGCGTGGCCTGCATGCTTTCTGCCTCTACCCCAATCACTGCTGGCTATGAGATGTGGGTGGGGTTAAAGTGGCAAGCATGGCAGGTGGACTTTACACTCCAAGCCACCTCTGGCGAGGTTACCACTGAGATTTTGGGACACGTCATGACATCTCGTTTATCTTTTTTGTTAGAGTTGCAATGTGTTGGATCAAACCAGCTTTTCCACTGTTTGAAAAAGGGTGGAGAAGATGGACTTTGACCACCAACAAATATGTGCTTACATGGAAAAAAGACACACAAGTGTGATGAAGACTGTAATTGAATGAAAAAGTTGGCTGGATCCAACCCTGCGTCTATAAAAGGAATCAGAGATATCAATTCTCATTTGTGGGAGTTAAACCCTGCAAATGCCCACCCCCACCCCGTTTTCAGACTTTTTTTGGTTGAAACGTCTCCCTTTATGGTAACTGACCCCATGGTGCTGACTGCTTTATCTGCCCTCTGGTGCTTAGTTTGCAATTAGAGAGATACTTTCCCCTCAGCTAAGGTAGATACAAATCTTACAGGATTTGTGCACATAAGCTTCCGTTGTAGAAGGCTGTAGAATATGGGTTGGTATAAATAGTATACTACTTGTACTGTAAAGTTGGAAAGTAAAACAGCTTTCCTACAAGCACCCCCATGCTCAGCTTGCCATGGGAAGCTGCTGGTGAAGAACACAGCTGTGTCTCCTGCACAGTTTAAGAGGTATAGACTAGTGCAGACTGAAGCATTCTTCACAGCTCAACTGTGTGGGATGGTTGTGTGGATAAAGCATAGCTGAACTACTGCAGAATCACTTGGAGGTGTTAACCAGTCAGATGGTGTAAAGGATCTTTGTAAAAATGAAATCTGTGAGTAACTGACACATTAAAAATGGTATCAGAAGATAATGTTCAATCTACCTGGCACTTTTTTTCACAAAACGAAGTAACCTGATTGGCGTCGCCTTATAAATTGGCATTCTGGCATCATTAATGGGGTTGGGGGGAGAATTCTGTGTTTGACAATAGAAAATTCATTATATTGTACACTTTAATTTATAATCTTCTTTTTGAATGTTTACATCAAAGGATGCCTTTTGAAGCTAGTGCTTATTCATGGGACTCAAAACAACAATTTATATGGGAAATAATTTCTCTGAGGAATGGAGATAGAGTAGTAGGATCTGAAACTTGTGTTTCTCTTCCCCCTTTCCACTCCCTTTCTTGCTGACTATAGAAAATCTCCCCTAGCCTGGTGAGTAGAGGATTTTGTTAGGATGTCCACCAGTCTTGTTGCCATACAGTTTGCTCAGTTACAGTGCATTTCCTCAAGGGAACCCTCATTATTTTCCAGAATGTCAAATGACCTGTTCTGAAGTAGAAGCTCTTATTGTATTTTAAGTGCTGCTGAGGAATTTGCTCAAAAATGTTCAAAAGCATGAGAGAACTAATATGTTTGCTCATATGTTCTCATCTTTGCAAGAGAAATGTTAGCCAGGAGCTCCAAAGAAGAATGTGGAGGCTATAAATGCTAGCTTATATTGGTATATATCGTTAACACTGAAATGCCAGTTAAATTGGGCTTGGGAAAATATATCCCCAGTTGGAAATGCACTGGCTGCACTTTATGCATGGCTTTGCTAAACTGTTGCACAACCTGAAAAGAAAAGCTGTGTTTGTTTGGGGGAAGAGTAGGTGAGTACTTATGTTGGTATGTGTGGCTGTTTGCAAGAACTCAGTGGCATATTTCTTCAATGTCTTGCAGGGGCTGGCAGCTGCAGAATCATGTAGCAATAGAAAAGTGCAAGAGTCCAGTAGCACCTTAAAGACTAACAAAATATGTGGCAGGGTGTGAGCTTTCGTGAGTCACTGCTCACTTCTTCAGATATCTGGATATCTTCAGATATCTCTTTTCTACTGCTACAGACAGACTAACACAGCTACCCATCTTGCAGAATCATGTAGTTTTGCAATATCATTAGCATACTTTTTCAGAATGAGATCACCTGCATTTTCTCCAACTAATGCGCTGTCACAGTCACGCTTTAAAAACATTGTGATGCTGTTTTGCATTTTGAACTGTGGTGATGGTATCAAAACACACATTGTATTTTGTATACTGTATAAACGGATAGATGACAGAGCTTGCTTTGTCCTCTTATTTCTTTTTTGACAAAGGTAGATGGAGAAGAGAAACAATTTCCCTTACAAACTGTGTTGATGAATGAGAGAGATGGTCAAGGGTGTGGGAGATGGGTATCCTGTGATTGCCTGCTGTATATGGGGAAAGGAGTAAACGGGTCTATTGTGCCATATGAGGAAAGATTGTGCTACTTTTATGTATGTGTATTGACCCAGTTACAAATGTCTTGCAGTCCTGAATATTTTTTCTTAAAATTTAAATTGGTATTGGTCCCTTGCAGTTTCAGTTTTGATTTGGATGTGATTAGACTGCAGTGGTGTCAGAGCAAAGTGGACATCTAGGGGGTGTTCTTTGATGTAGTGTCCATGTGCCATTTTTCCTGTTAAATAGCAACAAGTTATATCATATTCTGTTTTCAGCCTTAGTGGTGATTCTACAGTTCAGAGAGACTTGATCATATTTATGTAACTTCAGAACTGTACCCTTTGCTCTAGCTTTCATTCCACAATTTTGATATGTTACTTGTTTTTATGCTGTTTACCACATCAGAAGTTAAACAATTTGTAGGAATGACTTTTTTCCTTTATAAAAAAGCCCTGTGCTAAAATTGGCCATTTGTCCTAGGACAGGGGGTTAGTTATTCATATCATTAGGATAACATAAACTTTACTATGGACTTCAACTGGTTCATCCTTAATAGTGCAAGTAAGTAGATTTGTATGTACTTAGTCTGGATTTCTAGATCATAACATATCAACATTATTTTCTCTACCTCCCTCTCCCCATTCATTGACAGAATAGTTTTCATGACGTTTGCCACTTCCATGACAACAGGGTTTGAATTGTACTTTTGAAAGGTTGTGTTGATAAATTTATACATATACACTTCGATTTTTACTTTTAAAATAGTTGATATATTAAAGTTTCTTTACTGTGGCTCTGATGGTTTTCCAGATGAGCATAGACTTCATTGTGAGTTAAAAATATTTGAAAAAATGTATAGCAGAGAAATGGATTTATAGACTAAACTAACAAATTTCTGTCTTTATTGGTAGAGTTCTGGAGCCTTGACCGGTGTGCCAATTTCTGGGGTGAGTTTCCTAAATCCCAAGCGAACTTTTTACAGGACAAACAAATCCAAACAAATATGGAGACCTATTAGAATGCTTATAGTATACCTACGTTTGATAGAACTTGTTTTATTTTAAAAAGGCGTGATTGGAAAATGTTTAAAGTGTAATACGTTAGCAAAACTAAGGTGGTTTACAACACAAGAACATGCAAACAAGTAGAAAGTCATTTGGATACAGTAACAGTAAAACCCAGTTTAAAACAGTAAAATCAGAGGTCATTTCGGGGGGGATCGCGGCGGATCGCAGTTCCCCCGGGTGAGGTACGGGGGGCGGGGCACATGACGAATCCCCGCCCCCTGCTTCCGGCCGCCCCGCTTCCGGCCCTCATTCAGCCAGGAGGAGGCAGGAGAAGAGGGAGGATAAGTTGCTTCCTCCCTGCCTCTCCCCACTCCTGCCTGCCTGGGGCCAGGGAGGGCCTTCGTGGGGCTTCCTTGCACTCCCGCCGGCCTTGCAGGTCCACCGCCGGACCCCTCATGGGGCTCGGCAGTGGAGCTGCAAGGCCGGCGGCAGCCGGGACCGTTGGGGGCAGGGGGTGTGGCCTTATGACACACTTCCGGGGATGTCAGGGGGTGTGGCATATGCTAATGAGTTCCCCTAGCTCTTTTTCTACGAAATGACCCCTGAGTAAAATGGATATAATATGATCAATTTGATAATATACAGTATTTCAGTAGTGACACTCCTCTTTAGGCCTGCCAACTCTAGGGTGGGAAATTCCTGGAGATTTGGTGATGGAGACTGGGGAGGAGAAGGGATCTCAGCATGGTATAACACCCATAGAGCCCACTCTCCAAAGCTGCCATTTTCTCTGGGGGGAACTGATCTCGGTAAGATCAGCTGTAATTCGAGGAGATCTTGAGGCCTCACCTTGCGGCTAGCAATCCTACTTCCCTTGCCACCCAATTTCTTACAGGTCTAACTCAAAAAGCCCTCTAGAAAGGGGCTCACTCAGAAGGCCTTTAGGGAAGTACTTGTTCTCAACTCCTGAGAGTGGAAGTTCCAAAGTCAAGGACCCTAAGGCATGTTCCCTAAAGGTGAATAGTTTGTAGTTCTGGATTGATTACAATGAGTATATGTGAACAATGAGGTGCCCCTTTGAAAGTGAAGATGTGAACAGCTGGAATGTTGTCTTGTGACTTCCAGTCTTCTCCCTAAGAGCAACTTTTTGCAAGAATACTCAGCTCTCCAGGATAAAAATTTCCATTGGTCCCAGAAGCTTTCATGTGTCATAATAAGCAGTAATTAAACTGCAGTTAGGCATGAACACAGCTACAAATTGTAGCTCAGGGCAGCAGTGGTTGAAGCTGTCTTGGATGAGGTTAACAAGGATGGGGCAATCCAGACACTAGCACCTTTCGGTGGGGTTGATATGATCTGCCTATAAACTGTCAACTGAACATTGTGATCCTTCAGCTCCTTTAGACTACCTAGTCAATCAAATTCTGCAAAGTGTTCTAGTTAGACTTGCCAAGTCCCCCCGGGGGGCGGGGAAACCCCCGCCCCAGAGGCCCGTTCCCCGCCGCCGCCGGATCAGGCCCCGGGGGGGACCCCACCCCGACGTGCGCGTCACCCGGAAGTGACGTGACGCCGCCGGGCATGCTGGGGGCGGGGCATGCTGGGGGCAGGGCCATCCAAGGGAAAACTCCCCCGTTCCGGCAATATTTTGACTTGGCAACCCTAGTTCTAGTTCATAAAAAAAAGGTTTTACATGGCAACAGGACAGAGGCTGTATAAAAAATCAACAAACACCCAATGTGGTTCAGATTACATGTAGTGGGATGTTTTGGCTGAAATTTGTGGTATTCCTCCTTTCAGTGCTTAGGAGACCAGTCTGCTGCTCTAGTAGGACAAATGTGCTTCAAGAATGGGCAGATTAAAAATACGTAAGTTTAATGTGAGAAGTAAGAAACCTTTTCTTTTTTTGTACTGAGCCTAGATAAGAGTGTTAAACACTGCCAATTAGAGGACTTTCCTTTGGGCTTTTCCACATGGTTTTCTTTCTGTCGGTTTTGGCTCCATACTGCTTTGGTTTATTTCCACATGCATTTTTGTGCCTTTAGTTTTTGCTTCAGTTTTTTATTTTTCCCCAGGGGGGGTTTCCAGTTGTTTTGAGAGCCCTTTTACCCCAGTCTCTTCCTAGAAGCCGATTTTGACTCATCTTTTTTCTTGTGTGTAATATTTTCCATTTTGTTTTGTTTTTTATTGTTGTTCCACTCACCTCCAGCCCACTTTGAGATGACTGGATTGTCATGATCAAACTGCTCCCTGTTTTCCCCACCCAGAAGACGAGTGGTTTCGTTTTAGATATTTTTAAGGCAGTAGAATATTGATGTAGCATTGTAATAATAGATTTAGCAGGTTCTCTGAATTCTCTGAAGTAAGTCTCTAGTGCCTTCCCTCATGGAGATATGAGGACGAAGGGAAGGGGCTAGATTCTTTTTTTTTTTAAGTATACATAAAGAACTCAAAGAACCTGCTAAACCTATCATTACAATGCTATAACAATATATCAATATAACTATGTCCAAAAATTAAAAAAGAGGAAAGTGCTATGATGCCACTAATGATGACAGTGCCCTCCCTTGAAAATCCTGATTATTTAAGACACATGAAGAATAAAATAAACTGAGTCCACAAATGTGAAAATGCAGGAGGGGGACAAATGTGCAGAACAGTGCCCACACTCATTCTGACGGTTGCGGATCGATTGACAAGAAAATCAGGCTTAAGTCATGCATGCAGAAAAGCCCTTTGTTTGTAACACAAGCTGTTGGGTGAATGGTGAACCAAAGTAGCTAAGACTGATCTCTGAATCAGGGAATCACAACTTCAAATGTGGAATATGAGGATACTATCACCAGCTTACTGCGCAGGGCTTTCTGTAAGGATCGCATCAAAATAACAAATGCAAAGCCCTTTGACAGTTTAAATTATCACCATGAACAGGCACATGAAGCTGCCTACACTGCAGCAGACCCTTGGTCCAACAAGGTCAGTAGTGGCTATGAAGACTGGCAGTGGCTCTCCAGGGTCCCAGACAGAGGTCTTTCGCGTTACCTACTACCTGTTCCTTTTTAGCTGGAGATGATGGGGACTGAATCTGGGACTTTTTATATGCCAGTTTTTCTACCTCATTCCTGATAGGCATGGTGTACTATTTTTAGTCACAAGTTAAATTTGTATGGTTATGTTGTTCATTTGTGTTCAAAGGTTTGTTGGCTTTAGTTAAAATGCTAGAAAATCAAAATTTATCTGAAATAGCTTTTTACATAGACATTAGCTCTCAAGTACATAAACATCTGTTTTTCTGAGAGTATTCCAAGCCATTGTAGGTAGAGTAAGGAGGAAAGGCAAGAAAGTGATGGTAATGTGTACTGAATATGGCCAGGGATTGGTAGTCGCTACAGTGAGCTGTCAGGCACAACCTATCTGCACTCAGCTTATTCTTTTTCCCATCAGGGTTTTGACTGTAAAGGAATGTGCACAGTTGTTTCATTCAGAAAGTTAGCCATGTTTGTTCTGCCCTGTCTGACGATGAGAGACTTTAAACATGCAGACCTGAACACTTCCCATGGCCTTCAACAACATACTTCCCATGGTCCTTTGTACGGAGGATATTGAACAAGTTCCAGTACAAGTTATATGAAGCCTCTTAGATGGGATTGCCAGCTCCAGGTTATGAAATACCTGGAGATTTTTGGAGGTGGAGCCTGAGGAGGGCGAGGTTTAGGAAGGGGAGGGACTTCAATGGGGTATAATGCCGTAGAGTCCACCTTGCTAAGTGGCCATTTTCTTCAGGTGAACTGATCTCTGTCTCCTGGGGATCAATTGTAATCCCAGGAGCTCTCCAGCTACTGCCTGGAGGTTGGCAATTGTACTGTTAGACTGGAGCAAGCACAACATTTGAAGTATACATTAGCATTTTACTCATGGCAGCCCAGCTGCCACTGTACACTACAGCCCCTGGTGACAGTGGCAGAAGGAGATTAGTGGGTGCCGTTACTCTCCCCCAATTTGGTGCAGTGGTTAAGTGTGCTGACTCTAATCTGGGAGAACCGGGTTTGATTCCCCACTCCTCCACTTGCAGCTGCTGGATGACCTTGGGCAAGAGCTCTCCTTGAAAGAGCAGTTCTTGAAAGAGCTCTCCCAGCCCCACCTACCTCACAGGGTGTCTGTTGTGGGAAGGGGAAGGGAAATGAGTATGTAAATTGCTCTGAGACTCTGAGTGAAGGGTGGGGTATAAATCCAAACTCTTCTCTTCTTTTCTTCTTCATCCTTGACAGTTCAGTAAGTCTTTAAAATTAGTCATTGCTGTTTCTATGAAGAACAAGTTTTTATTTCTTACTATTTGAACTGTTTGTCTTTTGTGGCTACAATTTGAGTATATAAAGTCACTTTGTGGTATGTGTGTACAGTTTAGTCATAGATAATATTGGCAATGCATCTTCTTGTTTTGAAGTAGATCAATGACTTTGTCATCTCCACTGTAGATATGGGACAGGCTGCTTCTTGCTCTGCAATACAGGCCATAAGGTTAGTGCCATGAATAATACCACTTGACTGAAAAACTTGAAACCCTGACAAGCTGCTACTTTTCTCAAAGGTTTTTCTGGATATGACTCATGGAAGAAGATTATCTTTCCCAGGCCTGTCATGTTCCAAATACCTTAAACATAAGCTGCATTCAGATGTCATGACAAACAGTAATTAAACTGCAGTTAGTTGTTGCTGTGTTTGTGCACTCCCTTCTCCAGTCCCACCTCAGTTAAATCCCCTGTCGTGGAGAGTAAACAAATTCTGACTGGCCAAGATAGGTCCATTCAGACATCGGGCAAATAGGAGTTTGATCAAATCAGGACATTTTCAGTGAGCTCTGTTAATGAGAGCAGGAGGAAACTGAGAGGAGAGAAAGAGACGTGATCATGGCAACACGCTGTGTTCATATTGACTGGCAATTTAATTAAAGCTTTTTTCAGTGTCTGAATGCAGCCTTTCATTGAAGCGAAATGGTTCATATGTTAAACAACAGCTTAAATATTTTCTTTGACATTAAGGTCCCCAAGGAAGAATATGCTGGAAGGCTATAGTCAGTTATGCAGTCTTTAAGATAACTGTAAAATATAAAAATTAACTTACTACAACAGAAATCTTTGTCAGCTGAAACTTCCAGAGACTTGCATATCAGCAGTTTTTGAAATGTAAAATGTCAAAACTGCTCTCCTGAAACACTGATTGATATATAGTTATTGATTAAAGTCTGTTTGCATCTCTAAACTGCTTAATGTTTATGCATTAGTTTTTCATATAAAACAGTAATTTCTTTGAGAAACAACTCAACTTCTAAAGTATTGAAAACAGATCAGCCAATATCATAATGCCCCTATATAAACAAATGGTGCGACCTCATTTGGAATACTGTGTGCAGTTCTGGTCACCACACCTTAAAAAGGATATTATAGCTTTGGAAAAAGTGCAAAAAAGGGCAATTCGAATGATAAAAGGGTTGGAACACTTTCCCTATGAGGAAAGGTTAAAGCGCTTAGGGCTCTGTAGCTTGGAGAAATGACGACTGAGGGGTGACATGATCGAGGTTTATAAGATTATGCATGGGATAGAGCAGGTAGGGAAAGAGGTATTTTTCTCCCTTTCTCACAATACAAGAACTCGTGGGCACTCCATGAAATTGCTGAGCGGTCGGGTTAGAATGGATAAAAGGAAGTACTTCTTCACCCAAAGAGTGATTAACACTTGGAATTCACTGCCACAGGAAGTGGTGGCAGCTACAAGCATGGACGGCTTCAAAAGGGAATTAGATAAGCATATGGAGCAGAGGTCCATCAGTGGCTATTAGCCACAAGGTATAGATAGGGGCTCTGGGGCAAGTGATGCTCTGTCTTCTTGGTAGTTGGGGGGGGTCAACATTGGGAGGGCTTCTAATGTCCTGGCCCCACTGGTGGACCTCCTGATGGCACCTGGTATTTGTGGCCACTGTGTGACACAGGGTGTTGGATTGGATGGGCCTTTGGCCTGATCCAACATTGGCGTCTCTTATGTTCTTATGTTATGTTCTTATGTTCTAAGCAGCTAAAAATTTTCAGCATTTTTTTTAAAGCCTGCGCTGTCTGAACATGGCCTTCTGACCACCGTGGCTTACAAACTGGGAAGAGACCAACCTGCGTGCTACGCTTTAGAAGTAAGTATAATTACTTTTCTATACTGCATTTGTCCCTTTGGTTTTGCACCAAGAAATAACTACTGCATATATTCCCTGGGTAGCCGCAAACCTAGGATAGTTGGGATTAGATGTTTCTGAAGTGTTCTGTGGCACCAAGTCAGCACAGTGTTTATTTTTGCTTGATTTCTCCGTGTACAGCTGTTCTATAGTCAACTGGCAGCTAAATCTGTAACAAGAATGTATTGCTACATCTTGTGTTTTGAGGTTATATGAAATAATAATGCTTTTATCAGTAAGGCCAATTTATTCTTACATGTTCATCATTTCATAACAACAAACACAGATGCATATGTGAATTTGTAATAAGTTATTGCCCCCACAGGGGAATAACGAGACAGACAACCATTTTGGGTTAAACAAGGGCCACTTTATTAACTATATATACTTCAGGAATATCAAGCCGGCAAGGGAGCACTTCATGAGTAGCGGAACAGACAAGGCAGGTGTCAGGCTGACCAGCCTCCTTGTCTGATACATACGGGTGATGCACCAACCCTGGTCCTGGGCCATTAGCCTGGCTTGCGACCAGCAGCCCTCCCGGGAGCGCCTACCCCTGAAACCTTACAGTTTGCAGAGAGGAGCTTTACCCAAGAGGCTCCCCTAGGGGGTCCTCATTTACCGCCCGGGGCCTTAATAGCCCGCAAGCCGTTCCTGAAGACCCCCCATTTCCCAAAAGACGGGACGACTTAAGGAGCTCACCAATTCCGCTGCCTTATCCCTGCCCTATTCTACCAAAGTGACCGACCTATTTACCGCGGCCACGCCCTTGCCCTTACTTCAAATGATCCAGTGTAAGGTAGGCGAAAACACTACCACCCTCATTGCCAATCTTGGGTGATAGCGAAAAATTCCTACCTGGCCCCCAATTGGGCGACCAGCCTCAGCCTACACTAGCTTAACAGGGTGGGCGGGCGGGCGAGCACGAGGCTAACACACAAACAAGAAATCATCCAAATAGTGAGCTGTGGAGTTTAACCCCGTTCTGGACCGCAGGGTCCATTCCAAAAAGGAACTAAACCTCTCAAATGCCGCACAGGATACCGAACATCCCATGGGTAGCGCCCTGTCCATGTAGTAACTCCCCTCAAAGGTGTCTTCTTTGGTACCACGCCCAACGGAGACACCCGTAGGTTGGGCAAGGGGGGGGGAAGTGAAAGGACCCAGAACCCTCCCCGCTGCACATTCTTTCTCGATCTTCTGCCTCACTATATATTCCATTCCGTGTACCGATTTCAAATTGGGTGCCCAAAACTGGGACCGGCCGCCCTGACAAGGTATCCTAAAACCGCATGAAAAACCATCTAATAAGTACTTCCCGTCTCGCACGTTGGGGTAATGCCGCAAGAATTTCCTTAACACACTCAATTTAATTGGGCTGGGCCCCTTTTTCGCCACCTGCCCTAATATCTCCTGCCTCTCCAGGGCGCTTGCCTCCCCTCGCTCCTGCGCGTCCCCTTGCTCTGGGGCATCCTGAAACCAGATGGGGCCCCCCACACAAGGGGCACTCATGGCGAAAGGAGCAGGCCTTCCTGCTGCAAGTCCCATGGGAGGAGAACTCCCAACACAGCTGCCGCCTCTGGGCCGCGGCCCCCCTAGCTGTGGCCCCACCCAGGGAGCGGGCAGGGTACTGTGCTTGTGCACGGTGTATCACATGCCCGCTGTCCGAGTGTTCATGAGCCCCTGCTTTTGGCGTGGACACTACCTGAGGCCACAGGTGCGAATGAATCCTGTCCCAACGCAAGGCCGGGTCCGCTGCTGCTCGAGCCCGGAAGCCCTCATCGTATTCCATCCAGGCCTGACCGGTGTAGCCCGTAAAGGCTTTATATATAATGTCAAAGTATTGCCACAGCGCGGCCGCCCGCCACGGCTGGTGACGCACAATCACCCCCGCATATATGACAAACCCCGACACCCAATTCGGCCATATCCTATCCACCCTCCGTCGCTTGAGGCGCTCCTTCTCCCTGTCGTCAAGGTCCTCCCTTTCCCTCTTATCCAGCTCCCGAAATAGGAGCGTGAACACATCAACATAGCCTCCCTTGAGTATCCTCTCCCTCGTGGCTACTGACAGATGATCCCCCAAAGGCATGGCTATGTCGCCCTCTGGCAGCAACTTTGTGGAGGCAGGCTCATGGGCTTGGTCCCCGGCGTCCGGCGGGTACCACCCCCCTTGTCCCTCGTCCTGTGCAATCCCGCCTACTGCTGCAGGCGGCACGAATTGCCATGCCCCCCGCGTGTTCGAAGCCTCGTCCGTGGCGACCGTGCCTGAAGATGAGGAGGACCCTGGAGCACCCTGGTCTTTTGAGCCCCATGGCCAAGATGCGTCCTTCTTGTTGGGCTCGCCGTTCTTACTGTCCTGATCCGCAGCAACCTCGGGACCGTCGTAGACTTCCTGCTGCAGGCTCCCCTCGCCTTCTGGCCCGGAACCGGGGTCTTCTTCCGGCGCCGCGGACTCCGAGGCTTGGCCATCCTCTAGGCGCGCCACGCGCGCCAGCAACTGCTTAATAAAGGGAGAGACGTCAGGCTCTTTGGGCTTCTTAGGTGGGGGCGGAGTGGGATTCCCCCGCCGTGTTCTAGCCCTCTGCTTTTCCAGGGCCACAACCCTGGCCAAGAGCGCTGCGGTAACCGGGTCGCTCGCTTCGTCCGTGGGCGCCCGCGGTGCAGGGGCGGGCTCCTTAGGCGCCGGCCGCTTGCCCGCCGCCCTGCCCTTGCCCTTGCCTTTCTTTGGAGGCATTCTTGAACCACCGTCCGCCTCGAGGCGTGCGCTTGCCGTCCCAATTTACCTCTAAGCTGTGGAAACCTGTAAGCAGTTCGGCTACTGCGCCCAATTAAGCCCTTTTCCCGACCCAATCAAGGTGACCTAGCTAGAGGTGAGCGACTTGCCTTAAATTTTAAGCCAGCCTTAGGCCACTGCCTTAAAACTGATTGATCTTAAGCACTCCTCCCCCGCCAAGGCCCAGAATGCCTGGGCCCGAAGGCCAAAATCCCAAACCAGCACACCCGTCCTAGGCTTCAGTGGAACCTGCCCTTGATCCCCACCAGAAACTATGGGGGGGGAGGAGCCACACCGCTGCGGGCGACGCAAGACCCAAGGTGGGAGGAGGTGCCAAGCCCAGTCAAAGGGGGCCGACCTCGTGCAGCCCGACGGCGCCCCCTGTGGCACCTGGGCGCCCGTCCGCCCTCAGCACGACCCCCCCCCTGCTAGAGGCAATACCAGTTACCGCCAGTTACTGGACGGGGTGGGAAACCGGAGCGGACCGGCCAGCCCGGGCGATGGCGCGGAGAGGGGGGTGAACCAGTTAAAGGATGCCCTGCCACACTGCGCGTCTGCAGGCTCCTCTTCCTGGGCCGCTGGACCGTCACTGAGCCGCCTCAACCCTCCCCGGAAAGCCGAAGCAGAGGGTTTGGGGTGGGGGGGGGGCGACCGGGGGAGCCGAAAAAGGGGGGAGGTGCCGGGACCGCCCCCAACGAGCCCTAATCCCGCACCCTTCGAAGGGGACTGCCTCTCCGGGCCACTAAGCCTCGCCGCCGCTTCCTCCGCCCCTGGGGAGCAGCCCCGACGAGCAGCCTCCCGGCCCTCACGTTCCTTCCCCCGGCCCCCGACCACCCCCAGAGTACTCCCTGAGGTCGAGCTCCAGTCCACTGACGTCGCCGCAAGCTCCGCTCCGTGCCGCGGCCGAGCGCTCGCCTCCGTCACCGCTCCTGCTGCCTCCCCTGGACGATCCGGCCCCTGCGGCCAAGCGATCGTCCCGGCGCCGCCACTGCCCTCGCTGTGGTCTTCGGCCCACAGAGCCCCGTCAGCTAGGCCCGGCCGCAAGGCAGCACACCAGCCTCCACCTGCTCTGCCGAGCACGAGGCTAACACTGACAAAGGGAGGCGTGGGCAGAGCCGTGCCTAGCCAGGCCAGCTCCGCCCCTCCCCACGCCCCAGCTCTCCGTGCTGGGATGGGCATTCGCCCCGCCTTCCCCGCGGCAGCAAACCAGCCCCCGGCCGCCATTGCCTTCAGCGGCGGCCGGGAGCTCTCATGTTCTTGCTGCCTGCTCCACTGATGGAAATCTGTTCATCTGCCACAATTCCTAGAGTGTGTGAGATTGGTTTGGGGAGTTATAGGCTACTTTTGTTATGAGTTATTTAAAAAGGCCCAATTTTTTGCATGTTTTGTAATTCTGTGCTCTAAGGAAGATATAGTAACTGGCAGTGACCTGTTCTCCGCTTTAGGGCTCTGTTGCCATAGGAGGTGCTCTTGTTCGTTGGCTGAGGGACAACCTGTGCATTGCACAGTCCGCAAAAGAAGTTGGTGAGTATTAATAATTGGCTTAAAGTATTTGATGTTTTAGTAAATGGTTGCGAGACTTCTCTATTTGCCCACTGTTTATGATTCTAAAAACGTGTTCCTCTTCTCCCATATGTCAGTTTAAAGGTTATAACTGTGGTATACACTTAGTATCAGGAAAAAAATTAATACAATTTACTATGAAATATATTGGAGTGAGCTACTCTCAGAGAGATAAGAATTAAAAAGGATAGGTATCAGAAACCTGTGTATTGGTTTTGATAAGCTTAGAGTATATTGTCCGGATTCTGATGGCTCTGTGTGGGTGAACATGAAACACTAAGTAAGAGTTTCTGTGTTTATAATTTACTGAGGCCTTTTTTCAGGACAGAGTGTACCAAGTGAAGAGTTGCAAAACTTGGCATACTGTCAAAGGAACAAATACCTGTAGAAAACAGCATACAGCATTGCAGATATTTAAAACTGTGATGTTTGCTTTCCTAACCTCCTGTATTTACTGGAATAATCTGTCTGATAACTTTTCACCATGATAGATTGTGCTTTGGCTTTGGTTTTAGAGATGATTGCTGCTGAAGTGGGAAATTCTTATGGCTGCTATTTTGTCCCAGCATTCTCAGGATTATACGCACCATACTGGGAACCTACTGCAAGAGGGTAAGGTTTTTAAATATGGCTAAAGTTACTCTTAAAGTTTTGGGTAGGGAACTGCTTTTCCTATACACTTTTTTATCCTCTTTACAAATGGATTCTCTTTCCTGCCATACACACACATACACAATCTATTAATAATTGGGGCTGACCTGCATTCAAAAGCCTGGATGTGTCTCTGTCACATGAAGTTTAGGCTATGAGTCTGTTTCCCTAATGGGAATGCTGTGGGTGCTGCTAGTACTATTTCAGCTAAGCAAGAGGGAATTTGCTTTCTCAGTACAACACAACAGCATTGTGTTGCTACCACATTATTCTTTTTTTAACTGGCTGCTGGACAGACTAACAATGCAGTTGTAATAAACTCTAGTTGGATCTCTAAGTCTTTAGCAAAACCCCCTAACTCTAGTGTTTAATTTCTCATTTCTGTACAGAATTATCTGTGGCCTTACTCAGTTTACAAACAAAAAACACATTGCCTATGCTGCACTAGAGGCTGTTTGCTTTCAGACACGAGAGGTATGTATGAAAAAATAATCAACATTCCTCTGACCTGAGTTAGGAAAAAACATGATTTCTAATTGCAGTAAAAGCAGAGGTCTATGTTAATTGTCTGTTTATGTAATTTATTGTTTATTTTTAAACCATTTATAGCCTGCATTTCCCAATTGCTCAAGGCTGCTTACAATATAAAATTAAAAACAACCTAGTAACCCTTTAACAAAAACATAATACAAAAAAAACCTAATAAGAAAACCACCTCAAAATAATTTACACATAGATCATTAGTTTAAGCACTTAAATGTTCATGGAACCAGATTGCTATGAAAAGCTTTGCTTTGCTTTGCTTTGCTTTGCCAACTCTCTCCTTTGTGTACACCATTTTGAATGGGGCATGGATACCTGGGTCCGTGGTATCTAGAACAGTCTGCTGGATTGGCTTCAGGAGTAGGAACATTAGTAGGAGTGGGGCCTGGGGGTAGCCCCACTCTTTGGTGGTTTGGGGCATTGGGACAGATCTGTTGAGGGGAAGGCTGTGCCTGCATGCCCACCTCCCCACAACCTAGTAACAACAAAACCAACCCCAGGTTACCCCATTAGCATGCCAACTTTTTCTGATCTCCTTTGTGTTGTTTCTTTTAAGGGTAAACGTTTGTGTTCTCTCTGACCATAAGTCTCAAGACAGTTTTCAAATGTACAGAAACAATTAGAATGCCCCCCTTTTTGTTTTTGAAAGGCCTGTTATGTTTAATAAGGAACCCTTTTTAGTGGGGGAGGGAGTTCCCAAGTTCTAGTCAGAGCATGTCTAGCACTCAGAGTAATATTGGAGAGTTCGAGGTGGGGGGATGGCAGAAGTTCCCCAAGGGTTCTAAGACTGTTTGCCACAGTATGGCGTCTCCTGAGGTTGCAGGGCTTCTTACCTTTGGTATGGTGGTGGTGACATGGATGGGATGATGGGTCTCTTCTCTTTGCATGTCCCCATCCCAAGGGCTGCAGTAGCCATGGGTAAAGTGGGAAGGAAGTTTTGTTTTTTCCAGGTGTCCTGAATACTGCAGTAATAGCATACAGTGTGCCAGGAGAGGGATGCAAGGTCCACTTCCTGATCTCATAGTGCCACAGGACTTGCCACCACAGTCCTTGAAAGGGGAGAGAGACAGACCACTTGCTAGAACAGCCATCTAAGGTCAGAAGTGTAAAAATTAGAAGGGAGGTCTTCTCAGGCTTGAATTAAAATTAGGGCTGTAATTCGTGCCATCGTTGCTAAAGGCGAGAACTGTAAGTTTCTGAGGTTGGTATTCTGATCCTAAGAATAACAGTTGACATTGCAATTTAAGATTACATTCCTTCTACTGTGGTGTTAGTACCTCCCTAAGTATTGATGGGAATCTCCCCCCCCCCTTATGAAGCCTGTAAATGTATAAATGGTTCTATTTCAAGATATTGGATGCCATGAATAAGGACTGTGGGGTACCACTAAGCCAGTTACAAGTTGATGGAGGAATGACAAACAACAAGATCCTTATGCAGCTCCAAGCGGACATTCTCTGTATTCCAGTAGGTAAGAGTGCTGGAGTCACTTTGAGAACTATGACTACAAAAAATTAAAGAAGTATGAATGCTAAATAACTTAAATTTTCTCTGGTTTGTTTACCTCCCTCTCTTTTTAGTGTGGTTACTTAAGCATTTATATTAAAAGCGTTTCCAGGTATAGCAGATTATTGAATGTTGTTTGGAGAAGTCCATCTTGCACGAAAAAGCTGAGCTCTAAAACTATCTAGGGATACTGCATGCATGCTTTTTAACTAATCCCATCTGCCAATTTTATTGTGAATACGCAAACAGGCATCTACAATTAACTCTATGTGTGAAGTCAGGGCTGGCCCGAGGGGTTTGTGTGCCCTAGGTGAGGCCGCCTCGTGACGCCCCCCTCAGATGCCAACCTCCCGGTGGGGCCTGGAGACGTCCGAGCTGGCCGCCGGGGGGGGGGAGAGATGGAGGGACGCCATGTGCTGGGCAGAGCCTGCTGCCCTGGGCCTGGACTGCTGGAGGAGGAGGGAGGAGAGGCAGGCAGGAGCGTGCGCCACCCCCCCCAGCCCGGCCAGTCGCCTCCGTGCAGGCTCCCTGCTCCCCCCCCCGGGCAACCTGAAGAAGCGGAGAGGAGGGAGCGCGGGGAGCCCCGCCACCGGGGCCTGGAGAGAGCACCTGCTGCCCTGGGCCTGGCCTGCAGGAGGAGGAGGGAGGAGGGGCCGGCAGGCAGGCAGGAGCGCGCCCATGCTCAGAGGAGACCCTATTCCCTCGCAAGCCAGCTCTGGCCAGCGAGAAGAGGTCCCCCTGCCCGGTCGCCCGGCCTCCCCTCCCTACCTGGCCATGGCTGACCTTCTGGTGCTTCCTCTCCGTGACGAGGGGGCGACAACGCTGCCGTCCATGGCGCCATGCCGCCGCCTCCTGCCCAGCTCCGGCCGACGAGCCTGGCAGGGAGTCCTTCATAGGCAGCCAACGCCGCCGAGCCCGATGCCCCGGCCCTCCCTGCACCGCCCGCCTAGCAAGCCCGATGGTACGCAACGAAGCTGACTCGGCACGGGCCACCCAGGGAGTCCAACTTGGCCGGCGCCCCCACCCAAAGGCTCAGCCGTGGCGGCCTCCGGCTAGCATCGCCACTGGAGACGAAGAGGAGGAGGATGCGCCTGGGCAGCGCAGGGCAGCAGCGGCTCATTGGCGTGCGTGGGGGTGGGGGGCCAGCAGGCAGGAGCACACGCCACCCCCTCCCTCTCCAAAGAGACCCCCTTTCCCCCCGCAATTCCCTGAGAGGGTGCCCCGCCCCCCACCCCCTTGTTGTGAAAAGAGCGCACCAACACCTGTGGCAGCCGCCGTCTCCCCGCCTCACCCTTGCAGTGCCGCCGCTGCCCGCTCCCCCCGAGGCCACTCCAGGCGCTGCGAGGGCAAGGCACGCTTGCTGTCCAGGCAGTGGCGCGCAGGGAAGTAGTGGCTCTTTGGTGCGCGGGGGCGGGGCGCAGTTTGACGCCCCTGAGGCCGGCGCGCCCTAGGCCAGACACTAGCTGGCCTAGTGATACAGAAAAGATCTAGGAATACTTCCTTGAAAGTACCTATGCTGTCAGCCTACCCAATTTCTGGTAGAAGGGGGGCTGTCCTCCTTGTTATTGATAGGGCAATATTTCTACTACTCCTGCAGTTGCTATGGAACAGAAAGTTTTCTGAGAGACCTGTATGGGAAAGTTACATACGTACCAGCAGCATACCAGGTATCCATTGTAGCTGTGGATTGGATGGCATATGTAAGATCCATTTTATGTGTCCTTCATAGCAAACTTTATAGGATACCTTTGGTTTTGGTGACCTGTCCATAAAGTTCAAACAAAAAAAGGGAACATAAGAACATAAGAACATAAGAGATGCCAATGTTGGATCAGGCCAAAGGCCCATCCAGTCCAACACTCTGTATCACACAGTGGCCAGAAATACCAGTGCCATCAGGAAATACCAGTGCCATCAGGGAACAAAACAATTTTTTAAAGATGCTATATATGCAGGGTTTTTTATCCATTCATCCATTCAAGAACACTTTTTTCCTTCATTTCTTTCTTTCTTAGTAAAACCATCCATGCCTGAAATCACAGCACTGGGAGCAGCGATGGCAGCAGGAGCTGCAGAAGGAGTAGGAGTCTGGAGTCTGCATCCTGATGACTTGACAGCAGTGACTTATGAAAGATTTGAGCCACAGATTAATTCTGAGGGTAAAGAGAAGAAACTGATACTTGATCTCTGTAGTCAAGGGTACTATGATGATCCTGCCATCTTCCCCCCTTCACATGTGGGATTTCCCCTTCTGTCTTCTTTCTTGTTGAGCAGCCCCTTTATCTATTTTCTCCTTATTTGTTTATCTATGGCTGTCCCACCCAGACACTTTATTTTATATAGATAGATAATAGATAGGTACTGATATTGATGCTGGCCCATCCCTGGGAACTGAAGGAACAGACAAAACTAACTTCTTATATTCTGCTTTTGAAGTGGCACACAACAGGCTTTTGAAAGTTCAAAATAAGTGTTTCTGCTATTCAACAAGGTCTTTAAAACTTTGAGGAGTGAGGCTTTCTTTTTGGTTTCTGCTTAAACACTCAAGCATAGGTTTCTGAGTTTCACCAACACATAAACTTTAGAAGGTGGGAACACACAACCAAGTTCCCAAATCCTTCTTTATGCACAGACCAGGGATCATTCGTCTTTTCTAGAAATTATTTCCTTTCTTAACTAGGCAAGGATCACTTCTCTTTACTAGAAGCTATTTCCCTTTTTTGGCTTGAATGAGGATCCTCCTTGATCCACACACTCTCTTAGCCTCCTTCCCAGTCCACAGTCAGTGCTTAACTGGCTCTTCTTCAACTATCAGTTCACAACTGTCATTCCTTAACAGACTCTCTCAACCGAATTCCATTTGAACAGCCTGTCACTCAAAGGTTCTCAGACACTGTTAGGCAATAACCCTTGACAGTCTGTCGCAGGTACCCCAAGCCTCTGCTAATTTGATTTGTTGGCTGGTTCATATTGCTCATGGGGGCTGTCACAGTTTGTCCAGTCAGCATAGATAGCCTCACACAATGTGTGGCATGTCCCAGAAAAATGTCTGCCTGTGACACACTTTCTTTCTTCAATTTGGTTACTGGAACTATGGAATAAGGAGTTTAGGAAGTTGCTATTTCAATGTGTCTTCAGTCTAGAGTTCATACAACTGGACAACTGTTGTTCCTGCATCACACATATTTATGAGATATGACAAATTAGAATTTGGAATGAAAGTATTCCTTCTGGTTCCAGAAAGCGATTGTCGCTATGCCTGGTGGAAGAAAGCTGTTAGGCGATCAATGGGCTGGGTGACCTCAGAACCTCATACTGGTGGTAAGCTTTGTTACTAGAAGTAATCCTGGCCTTTTCATTTCTTAAAGCTTGTAGAGGAAATCTTGAGAAAAGTGCATATGGTTTCCCTGACCCTTGTTTCTCTATTCCTGTCTCTTATGGGATTTAGCAAGCTTGAGAAGTTGCAGAAGAAACCCAAATCTAGAGGATAGGAACAAAAGTGCCCTTGCAGAAGTAGCAGCTTCCTTGATTAGCTGAAGTTGTCAGGCCAGGTCTGACCTGGGGGATTTGGTAGAGGTGTTGCCAGATTAGACCCTCCTACACTTCTCCTGATCTGGCACAATAATCCAAATGTGTGGGTCTTTCTTGCAACAAAAGCAGCTGTATGGAGATATAATGGCATGCAGATTAATGGGGCAAATTCTACCATCTTGTCTTTTCATACTCTTTTTCACAGAGCTGGAAATAACTAGCTGGCTCTATCCTGGCTAGGTCAAAGTCTGGGTTAAGTGGCTTTCAAGAGCCTAAAGGGTACTCTGTGTACTCAAGGGCTGGGTCTCTGAAGCTGGGTCCTTCTGAAGCAATAGCAGCAAAGAAAACCTTGGATAACAGATTGCAGAGCAATTCCCACTTTTTGCCATTGTTAACCTCTCATCCTAAGAAGCACAAACACTACCTGTGTATACAAAAGGGAGGGGGGTTGAAGCAGTTTGAATCCAGGTGTTTGGGAGATGATTATAAGAAGCACTTAAATGTTCTAAGCCATGTCCTGTGAAAACTACTTCCTGAGCCCTTTGGTGGCATAATGGAGAGACTGATAGAATAGGCTCTTAATTGTAAGAAGTCTGTTTCTGTACTCCAAGTGGTTTGACTGTGCATTTTGAAACACTGTTGGGATTGTTATATAAGGCAAGCTTTAAATATATTTTGCTGCAAAGACAGTGTATTATTTTTATAATGAAAAATGGCAGCTTCTATAGCTCATATGGGTTAGAAGTGATGGCAAGTGAAGAATAGGAAGAAGTCTTAGTCACCAGATCAGGGTGCATCTTTTGGGGGTGGAAATATGAGAACCATTGAAATAAATGCAGTAATTCACTATTTTGATGCTTGCTTAACTAATCATGCTGTTTGTAATCTCACATTGCTTAATGTCTAATTGTAAACTATTGGCTAGAAAAAAAGAGAAATTGTTTAGAGGGCAGTGGTTTTAGCACAGTTATAATTAAATAGATATACTAGCTGTTGTTCTGTACTTTCAACCCTAGTCTGGGTACAGCACATGTGATGAAGAAGCAGAGATGTTTCACTGGTTTGTAAAATAGCATGTGATAAGTGTGCAAAAATGCACATTCAGAAAGATTGATGTAATCCTACCCTCTTTTCCTTTCAAGAGGGGAAAAAAACCTGTGTTATGAGCCTGTGAAAGTAGCACTCATGTCATATATTGGCTTGCACATGTACATTCACAAAGAAGCTCATATGTGTCTGCTCCACCACCACCTATGCTGGATTCTTGGCTGGGTGACTATGTGAACTAGCTCTTGCTATTGAGCAAAATATGGGTATTAGTAATTCCATAGTGTTCAATAAATTAACTATAATTATTTAATTTAATAATCTGCTCTTAATTTATCTACTTGATTAGGATTAGAGATTGACTCTGCCTAAATAACTCTGAACACAACGTAAGGTTGGAGTAGACTTATAGGCATCAAAGGGCTGGTCCATCTTTAATTATTCCAGGGCATTTAGTGTTTTGCAGTCATTGTGGCTGTCATGTAATTCTACTATTCATGTGATTTTTAAAAAGTGCAATTTACATGTTTCTCTCTCTTGATTTGCTTGATTGGAACCTCTCCTACTGAATGACGTCAGGCGAAACTAGTATCTTCTGTAGTCTGCCTTTGGGCTTCTTTATAATGAATAGCCTGTTAATGTTAATCGGAGCAAAGTACATCTCAGGTTAGTTTTATTATTTTACAAGGTATCTCTGCTAGTTTAAGTGTCTGCTTCTATTATTAAAAGTGTTCAGTGTTTTTCTATGTGAAGAAACAATAAGGATTCAAGCAGGAACTCATTAGCATAATAGGCCACACCCAACAGCAGAAACTCATTAGCATATTAGGCCACACCCCTGACAGCACAGCTCATTAGCATATTAGGCCACACCCCCATGCCTTCCCTTGGCTTGCCCGGGCAAGCCGGCCCTTGGAGGGGAGGCTGTTTAAACTTCCTTCCCTTGGCTTGCCCGTGCGCCCTGCGGCCCTTATCTAACTCATCTGGTAAACAATTTAACAAAAATATTTCTGGCTTAAATGATATTGTGATATTCAAGACTGACTGTAAGAGATTATGCACTTCAATCCAAAATTTATGAACTTTTTTACATGTCCACCACATATGGTAGTATGACCCAATATGGTTATTACATTTCCAACATATATTACTCACATTTTTATACATTTTAGCTAACCTATTTGGGGTTAGATGCCATCTATAAAACATTTTGTATATGTTTTCTTTGAATGTAACAGATTTAATCAATTTAACATTCACTTTCCATATTTTACTCCACTGTGACAGATCGATGTTATTATGACCTGCATTTTGCATCCATCTAACCATACATTCTTCAACTATTTCGTCCTGCATTTTCAATTGCATTAACATACCATACGTTTTCTTAATAAGTTTCTCTCTTGAAGTACATAATAATTTTTCAAAGGCACATTGTTCTGAATAGAATCCATCTGTCTGTTTGTCCTTACTATATCTAGAGTCAACTTGCACTCTGGTCCATCAGTCTAAGTTTATTTCATTTTTTTTAAATTCTTCCTGAGATTTTAAATTATTTTCATCATCTAACAATTCTGCGTATCTAATAACTGCTTGTTTTGAAGTCAATGTTGGTTGAGAAAAAGCTTCCACTGGAGACACCCATCTTGGAATTTTAATATATATCAGCGGGCAATTTTTTTTACCACGTTGTCAATAATTGTCCTCTTATCATATGATTTTTAAAATATTTATGTCCAGAAACTTTCCCATACCATAAAGAGGAGTGCAATCCCAGTTTTAAATCGTGTCTAGAGCCAGCAGCCTATGATCTTCAAGTAGAATACATTTCTCAGCCAAACTAAACTTGCTGCTCTGTAATAATTCTTCTAGTCCGGTATTCCAAATCCAGCCATTATCTTTCGCATCTTGCAAGGCTTTCAATTTAATTCTTGGCTTTTTCCCTTGCCATATAAAACACTGTGTCAGTTTATTCAATTCATCAAATAAATTTTGTTTAATGTATATCAGTAACGTCTGAAATAAAAACATCATACGTGGTAAAACATTCATTTTAGAAAATGCTATTCTGCCCATTAGTGATACTTGCAACTTTTTCCATTTCTCTAAATCCTTTTTAATATCTTGCAACACTTTGTTATAATTATCTTTCATCAGAGAACTACATTTTGCTGTCAGTCAGTCATTTATTACGGCAACAAGCCATAGAACACACATGCTTAAATATAACATTCATATAACTGAATTTAGGACAGTAAAACAAAATTCTATAAAAATACAGTTGAGCGTAATAAGTAAAAGAAGAACATAAAACAGAGACTATTAGGCAACTATTATTATACATTTGATTGTGTATTTCAGATGCAGTAGCATGCTACCCAAAATTTTGCCACAGTTTCGGTAATTGTCCGGTTCCCATCAATTAACAATCGGTTACATTGCTCAGCACCTGATTGTCCCACCATATCTGTTATAAGAGGAGTAATATATTTGTCACGGATCTTGTTATACCAGTTACATCTGAGCATCATGTGCTCAATAGTTTCTGTCTCTCTTGAGCCGCATCGACAAAGTCTATATTCAGTGGGGATCCTTTTGAATCTGCCCTCAAGCATCGCGGAGGGGAAAGCCTCACATCTGGCTAATGTGAAGGTTTTCCTAAACTTATGAGTATCAAGCTGTGATAAATAGGACATGGGTCGCAAGTGATATTTGACAGAATCTGGGGCTCTAAAATTAGGACATCTACCGAGATCTGTCTGTCTCTCCATGTCCATCATTCTCTGTTTTAGGGCTGATTTTGCTACATCCCAATGCATACTCAAAATCGCTTGGGGGGAAAAACCAAGCTCATATAATTTTGCTGTAATATTAATACCCAAATATTTGACTTTCTTCTCCAGTTGAAATCCAGTCAGTTCTGCTAGTTTAAGTCTTTGTTTCAATGTCATATTTTTCATAATCATTTTCATCTTCTGATTTGTTTGTTTGTTTGTTTAATTTGTATCCCGCCCTCCCTGCCAGGAAGGCTCAGGGCAGCTTACAGAGTATACATAAATATATTAAAACAGTGAGATACATTAAAACAGTAATAAAATTAAAACTACAACATATGCAAATAAGTGCTAGCAAACATAGTACTAATAAATGGTGGTGGTGTTATCTCAGCATCTAGATGGTCAAACTACCACCACAGTCTGAGTTCTTGCCAGGCTATTAGATCTTAAGTGAGGGCTGATGTTGGTGGGCCAGGGCCTCGATGTTAAAAGATGACCCCTAATCAAAGGCCTGGTGGAAGAGCTCTGTTTTACAGGCCCTGCGGAACTGTAAAAGGTCCCGCAGGGCCCTGATGTCATCCGGGAACTCATTCCACCAGTAAGGGGCCACCACAGAAAAGGCCCTGGTCTTCGTCACCTTGAGGCCCTCCCAGAGGCTCCCATCGTAGCAGAGGGCGGCCAGGTTGATGGGTGCCATGCCATTGGGGAGGAGGCGTGCCCAGGCCAGTGAGAAGCAGTAGTGGGAGACACCCAGAGCTGGATGTTATGCCAACTTCTCCAGG